TCGTCGGTTTGCACGGGCGAGATTGACGTTTCTCGCAAACGGTAGGCCCGAATTCGATCATGTTCAATGTGCACATTCGTATCAGCAAACTGGCAGTGCAACTCCCTGTACGTCACGCCCGCAAAAAAACCTGTTATCGGTTTGCACGGGCGAGATTGACGTTTCTCGCTAACGGAAGGCCGAAATTCGATCTCGTTCAATGTGCACATACGTAAGAGGAAACTGAGAGTGCAGCACCCCGAACGTCAAACTCGTGCGATCCGTCTGCACAATAACTTGTCGTCGGTTTGCACGGGCGGGATGTACTTTTCAAATGTTGCTTTCAAATTGAGTTTCTAATTTTATTATATGGTTAGATTTAGTTTATATATTTTTTTTATTTTATAAGATGAAGTAGAAAACTGAACATTTTCCCAGACATTATTCCGAGGCAAAACAAATTTTTTGGAATGGATGTACGTGTTTATGTGGGGGAAAATATACTATGACAATTGGGAAAAATAACTGATTAGAGTTTTAATAGTATAAAAGTACTATTGTATTTGGCATAGATAATTGATTTCCATACTTGAGCTATTTTTGTAATTTAACAAACGGGGAGTTGCACTGCCAGTTTGCTCTTACGAATGTGCACATTGAACGTGGTCGATTTCGGGCATTCCGTTTGCGAGAAACGTCGATCTCACCCGCGCAAATCGATGACAAATATTCTTGCGGACGGCACGCACGTGTTACCCGTACGGGGAGCTACGCTCCCAGTTTCCTCTTACGTATGTGCACATTGAACGAGATCGAATTCGGCTCATCAGTTTGCGAGAATCGTCGATCTTGCCCGTGCAAAGCGATGACATCTTTTTTTCCGGACGGCTCGCACGTGTTTCACGTACGGAGAGCTGCACTCTCAGTTTCCTCTTACGAATGTGCACATTGAACGAGATCGAATGAAGATCAGTGCAGCACCTCGTACGTCAAACTCGTGCGATCCGTCCGCACACAAACTTGTCGTCGGTTTGCACGGGCGCGATTGTCGTTTCTCGCGAACGGAAGGCCCGAATTCGATTTCGTATAATGTACACATTCGGAAGAGCAAACTGGCAGTGCAACTCCCCGTACGTCAAACACGTGCGAACCGTTCGCAAGAAAACTTGTCATCGATTTGCACGGGCCAGGTTGTCCTTTCTCGCAAACGGAAGGCCGGAATTCGATCTCGTTCAATGTGCACATTCGGAAGAGGAAATTGACAGTGCAGCATCTCGTACGTCAAACTCGTGCGAGCCGTCCGCAAGAAAAATTGTCATCGGTTTGCACGAGCGGGATGTGCTTTTCTCGCAAACGGATGGCCGGAATTCGATCTTGTTCAATGTGCACATTCGGAAGAGAAAACTGAGAGTGCAGCGCCCCGTACGTCAAACTCGTGCGAGCCATCAGCAAAAAAAACTGTTATCGGTTTCCACGGGAGAGATTGACGTTTCTTGCAAACGGAAGACGCGAATTCGATCTCGTTCAATATGCACATTCGGAAGATAAAATTGACAGTGCAGCACCTCGTACGTCAAACTCGTGCGATCCGTCCGCAAAAAAACTGTTATCGGTTTGCACGGGCGAGATTGACGTTTCTCGCAAACATATGGCCCGAATTCAATCTCATTCAATGAGCACATTCGTCAGAGGAAACTGGGAGTGCAGCACCCCGTATGTGAAACACGTGCGAGCCGTCCGCAAAAAAAGTAATCAGTTTGCACGGGAGAGATCAACGTTTCTCGCAAACGGATGAGCTGAAATCGATTTCGTTCAATGTCCATATTCGTAAGAGGAAACTGAGAGTGCAGCACCCCGTATGTCAAATTCGGGCGAGCCGCCCGCAAGAAAAGTTGTCGTCGGTTTGCAGGGGCGAGGATGTCGTTTCTTGCAAACGGAAGGCCGGAATTCGATGTCGTTCAATGTACACATTCGTAACAGCAAACTGGCAGTGCATCTCCCTGTACGTCAAATTCGTGCGAGCCGTCCGCAAAAAAAACTGTTATCGGTTTCCACGGGCGAGATTGACGTTTCTCGCAAACGGAAGGCCGGAATTCGATCTCGTTCAATGTGCACATTCGGAAGAGGAAATTTTGACAGTGCAGCTACCCGTACGTCAAACTCGTGCAAGCCGTCCGCAAAAAAACCTGTTATCGGTTTGTACGGGCGAGATCGACGTTTCGCGCCAACGGATGAGCCGAATTCGATCTCGTTCAATGTGCACATTCGTAAGAGCAAATTGACAGTGGTTCGCGCCGAATTAGCAAGAGCTAAATTAATAATTATCATGACCCGTGTGGTTCAAGCTAGCCTCTGCGTCCTGTCGCGCCGTCCAGGCGCGCCAACCACCACTTCAAGGGTCGACAACGGCGTCGACCCCCTGGAGGTAGGGTCGTCGTCGCGACACGTCTTTTGAGCTCGATTCGAAACGCGCCTTTCTTCATCCGCAACTGTCTCCTCCAACCCATCTGGAAAATGTCGTTCTAAAGTTCCCAAGAAAACCTTCGTACTTCTCGATCACGTCCGCAATTAGGACAATTTATGGTTTCCGCTCCTTTACGCTTCTTCTAGAGCTTCTCCAAATTCTCGAACGATAACCGCATGCGCAGTCCCCACGCACGCCTGTGGAACTGCCTAAAATCTCCCATTCCTCAACGTTCTTCCAGACCAATCGGCTACATACAAAAATGCAATTCGCCGATCTTCTTCAAAACTCCGCCTCTGAAATCTCTCTCTGGGACCCTCTTGTTTTAAACTTTGGTCCCAACCACCAGATACGATTGAACAGCCGTAGCGACCATCAGCGTCCCGGCATTACCGCGTCCTTCGGTCTCCCGCGCGACTTTACGCGTCCGCGGTATCCAGCGAGATAGCTTCGATCTCCCGCGAGATCAGCGATTCTCCAATCTTACGCGCTCAACTTCTCTAAGTCCACTCATGCTAGTGGCTCGCTCAATTAGGCATCATTAATCGTGCCGTTATCTTTACTCCGTTATTTCATTGTTAACCCGCTTCAACTGTAAATTACTACCAGTGTTAAATAAATGTTTAAGTTTCGTTGACCGCACTTCACATCCAGTAATTATCTAGCCGTTCCTCCGCGAATCGAACCAACCTAACATTTAATGGTCCTCCGAATCGTGGATTGCGGAACGTAACTAATACACACTTACTACGAACAATATCTAACAACACTGCAGCACCTCGTATGTCAAACTCGTGCAATCCGTCCGCAAAAAAACCTGTTATCGGTTTGAACGGCCGTGATTGACGTTTCTCGCAAACATATGGCCCGAATTCGATCTCATTCAATGAGCACATTCGTAAGAGGAAACTGGGAGTGCAGCTCCCAGCACGTGAAACACGTGCGAGCCGTCCGCAAAAAAAGTAATCGGTTTGCGCGGGCCAGATTGACGTTTCTCGCAAACGGAAGGCCCGAATTCGACCTCGTTCAATGTGCACATTCGTAACAGCAAACTGGCAGTGCAACTCCCTGTACGTCAAACTCGTGCGAGCCGTCCGCAAAAAAACCTGTTATCGATTTGCACGGGCCAGATTGACGTTTCTTGCAAACGGAAGACGCGAATTCGATCTCGTACAATGTGCACATCCGAAACAGCAAACTGGCAGTGCAAATCCCCGTACGTCAAATTCGGGCGAGCCGCCCGCAAGAAAAGTTGTCGNCCAGTTCGTCAAACTCGTGCGAGCCGTCCGCAATAAAACTTGTCATCGGTATTCACAGCCGTGGTCAACGTTTCTCGCAAACGGATGGACCGAATTCGATCACGTTCAATGCGCACAGGCGGAAGAACAATCTGACAATGCAGCACCCCGTTCGTCAAACTCGTGCGAGCCGTCTGCAAAAATAATTGTTATCGGTTTTCACGGCCGAGATCGACGTTTCTCGCAAACGGATGGACCGAAATCAATCTCGCTCAATGTGCACATTCGTAAGAGCAAATTGACTGTGTAGTACCCCGTTCGTCAAACTCGTGTGAGCCGTCCGGAATAAAACTTGTCATCGGTATTCACGGCCGAGATCGACGTTTCTCGCAAATGGATGGACCGACTTCGATCATGTTTAATGTGCATAGGCGGAAGAACAATCTGACAATGCAGCACCCAGTTCGTCAAACTCGTGCGAGCCGTCCGCAATAAAACGTGTCATCGGTTTTCACGGACGAGCTTGACGTTTCTCGCAAACGGTGGCTTGAATTCGATCTCGTTCAATATGCACATTCGTTAGAGCAAGCTGACAGTGCAGCACCCCGCACGTCAAACGCGTGTGAGCCATCCGTAAAAAAATGTGTCATCGGTTTTCACGGACGAGATCTACGTTTCTCGCAAACGGATGGACCGAATTCGATCACGGTCAATGTGCACATTCGGAAGAGCAAGCTGACAGTGCAGCACCGCGCACGTCAAACGCGTGCGAGCCATCCGCAAAAAAACTTGTCATCGGTTTTCACGGCCGAGATCGACGTTTCTCGCAAACGGATGGACCGAATTCGATCACGTTCAATATGCACATTCGTAAGAGCAAGCTGATAGTGCAGCACCCAGATCGTCAAACTCGTGCGAGCCGTCCGCAAAAAAACTTGTCATCGGTTTTCACGGACGAGCTCGACGTTTGGTGGCTTGAATTCGAACCGAAATCAGTCTCGTTCAATGTGCACATTCGTAAGAGCAAGCTGACAGTGCAACATCCCGTACGTCAAACTCGTGCTTGCCGTCCGCAAAAATACTTGTCATCGGTTTTCACGGACGAGATCGACGTTTCTCTGAAATGGATGGAACGAATTCGATCACGTTCAATGTGCACATTTGTAAGAGCAAGCTGACAGTGCAGCACCCCGTTCGTCAATCTCGTGCGAGCCGTGCGCAAAAATATTTTTCATCGGTTTTCACGGCCGAAATCGACGTTTCTCTGAAATGGATGGAACGAATTCGATCACGTTCAATGTGCACATTCGTAAGAGCAAGCTGACAACACAGCACCTCGTTCGTTAAACTCGTGCGAGCCGTCTGCAAAAAAACTTGTCATCGGTTTTCACGGCCGAGATCGACGTTTCTCGCGAACTGATGGACCGAATTCGACCTCGTTCAATGTGCACATTCGGAAGAGCAAGCTGACAGTGCAGCACCCCGTACGTCGAACTCGTGCGAGCCGTCCGCAAAAATACTTGTCATCGGTTTTCACGGCCGAGATCGACGTTTCTCGTAAACGGATGGACCGAATTCGACCTCGTTCAATGTGCACGTCCGCAAAAATACTTGTCATCGGTTTTCACGGACGAGAACGACGTTTCTCTGAAATGGATGGAACGAATTCGATCACGTTCAATGTGCACATTCGTAAGAGCAAGCTGACAACACAGCACCTGTGCACGTTCGTAAGAGCAAGCTGACAGTGCAGCACCTCGTTCGTCAAAATCGTGCCAGCCGTCCGCAAAAATACTTGTCATCGGTTTTCACGGACGAGATCGACATTTCTCTGAAATGGATGGAACGAATTCGACCTCGTTCAATGTGCACATTCGGAAGAGGAAACTGTACTTGTCATCGGTTTTCACGGACGAGATCGACGTTTCTCGCAAACGGATGGACCGAAATAAACTGACAGTGCAGCACCCCGTACGTCAAACTCGTGCGAGTCGTCGGCAAAAATACTTGTCATCGGTTTTCACCGACGAGATCGACGTTTCTCGCGAACTGATGGACCGAATTCGACCTCGTTCAATGTGCACATTCGGAAGAGCAAGCTGACAATGCAGCACCCAGTTCGTCAAACTCGTGCGAGCCGTCCCCAAAAAAACGTGTCATCGGTTTTCACGGACGAGATCGACGTTTCTCGCAAACGGTGGCCTGTATTCCATCTCATTCAATTGTGCACATTCGTTAGATCGAACGGAAAGTGCAACATCCCGTACGTCAAATGCGTGAGAGCCGTCCGCAAAAAAACGTGTCATCGGTTTTCACGGACGAGCTCGACGTTTCTCGCAAACGGTGGCTTGAATTCGATCTCGTTCAATGTGCACATTCGTAAGAGCAAGCTGACAGTGCAGCACCTCGCACGCCAAACTCGTGTGAGCCATCCGTAAAAAAATGTGTTCGGTTTTCACGGACGAGATCTACGTTTCTCGCAAACGGTGGCTTGAATTCCATCTCGTGTGAGCCGTCCGCAAAAAAACGTGTCATCGGTTTTCACGGACGAGATCTACGTTTCTCGCAAACGGTGGCCTGTATTCCATCTCATTCAATGTGCACATTCGTTAGATCGAACGGAAAGTGCAACATCCATCGGTTTTCACGGCCGATATCGACGTTTCTCGCAAACGGATGGACCGAATTCGATCACGTTCAATGTGCACATTCGGAAGAGCAAGCGCTCCCGGCCGAGCTCCAGGTTTTCCGCGGCCTCCTGAACGAGGAGTAGGGGCTAGAGGCCCTCCTAGGTGGGGTCCACCTTTTGCTGCGTCTTCTGATTCCTAGACCTGGGTAGCGCCTCCGGGACACTGAACTTGGTGCTGACGCGGTGTTTCGCGCCCGGAGACTCCACGACGTCGCGTGGACTTCGACCCCCGCGAGCCCGTGAGCGAAATTCCTTCGGAATGCCAGCTCTGCACATTACTTCTTGCCGATACAGCGCTCGCTTTCCTTGAACGCGGTTTTATTTCGACTTTAAGCTCTAAATTCTCACTAAAATACAAGGGACGTAACAAGATCGAAGAATTAAAAATAGAAATTAAGAAAATTAACAGATTTATTCGGATTAGAGATATAAATTACCGAAGAATTTTGTACCTCGGAGAATCAGATAATTCCAAAGGCGACGGGGTTCGACGGAAGGTCGCCGTCAAGAAAATGAAATTCGAAACGAGACAATTCAAAAAGACAAAGGTGGTTTAAATTCAAAAGAAAGGATCGCTAAGGTTGAATTTTTAATCCTGAAAACAATATTATGCGCTCGCTTACATGGACAGACGGGTTCAATACTACGCGACATAATCTTGACAATTCTCAACTCTAAATTTCTCGACTCTAAATACAACATTTACTCGACGGACGAGTCACTAAACTAATCGCAAACTAAACTGCACAAATTACAATTATACTCGGAAGAAAAGCGGGTATTCCGCGAAAGAAAATGGGTCGCAGCCGCCGCGTGGCTTCTCCGTCTCCGACCCCGAGGGAAAGAAAACGGACACTCCTAAGACTCGAACGCTGGCCGCGATGAGAGACTAATTTATCACAATAGCTCGATCCCCTCGCCGAAAACCAAAACCATTCACAGATTTTCGGGAGACGATCGCTTCAAAATATCCCAAAAAGGGGTACTTTTCTCGCCGCGGGCCCAAACCATTCACAAACCGGTGTGAGAGAAATGACTTTAGGGTACACGAAAACTAGTCTCGGCGGAAGTCAAAACCGTTCACAAACTTCCGCCAGACAAAGAAAATTAAACTTCAAAGAAAATTAAACTTCAAAGAAAGTTAAACTTCAAAGAAAGTTAAACTTCAAAGAAAGTTAAACTTCGAAGAAAGTTGAACTTCAAAGAAAATTAAACCAAAGAAAATTAAACTTCAAAGAAAGTCAAACTTCACAGCCAAACAATAGAAAAGGACTCGAACTGCGCGCTCTTACTCAAAAAGGCGGGACAGAGAATTACAGGACATAAAGAAAATTTCGGGGCACAGATAGAATTATGGGACACGACGCAAAGAAAAAGAAGTCGCCCTTGTGTCCACTCGAGGAAGCCCGTGGCCTCCCGATAAGGCTAACTCAAAGCCCGATTTCCGCCAATCGTAGGCCCCACCAGGACAAACCGGAAGATCGCCCGCGTGAGACTCACGAAGACCGACTACGCGGTATGCTTCCGCTCACCGACGCGACACTATCCGGGCCCTACGACTTAGCGAATTTAATCGGTGACTCTAATTTATCTCGACAAGGGGGTCCTCGACCGAGCACGTGGCACTTACTTTACTCCAGAAAATTCACTGCCGCTCGACGGACCCGTGGCTGAGTTTCCCGCTCTGAGCCGGGAAGATCTTCGATCCTCGACGACGGGAGACAATCAGATAATTCGCAATTCTATGAAAACTCTTAGCAGCGTTGATCTGGTCGGTCCGACGGTCGTAGGCAGAGAAGATCGGAGCTCTCCATGCGCTGTCCTATATAGGGTTTCGGCTGGCCAGTCCGAATTCTAATAGGCGCCGTTGATTGGTTGAGATGCTCCTTAATTCCAGATTTTCAGCGGAGTTTGAGTGCGCCGGTCCAATTCCTCGGGCAGGGGGTTGCGGCGGCGCGATCTCGATGCGCGGTGGCTGGGCAACGGCGGTGCGCGCCCGGCCCACGTCGAGCCGCCGGCGATGCCATGGCCATACCAAGTGGTGGCCCGTCAGGTCCCGGCGTGCCCTGGTCCTCTGGGCACCCGATGTTTTCCCCTCCGTGGGATCCTAGGTCAGTAGTATAGGAACCACTATGGGTAGACTAAACAAATGACGTCACCGGCGCCGAGTCAGCCTGTGACATCACGTTACGTCACGCACCCCCACTCCTCTCATTTACCATAGTGCCAAGAGTGGTGGGGGTACGCTAGAGCGCGAGTCGCGAATGCGAGAGAGAGAGAAAGATGATCTCCCGAGAGAGAGGGATGTATAGGGTGGTAGAGGGGGTACGCTAGAGCGCGGGCCGCGAGTGAGAGAGAGAAAGACGATCTTCCGAGAGAGAGGGATGTATAGGGTTGTAGACGGGGTACGCTAGAGCGCGAGCAGTGAGTAAGAGAGAGAAAGACTATCTTCCGAGAGAGAAAGACGGGTGTATGCCTGTGGCGTCGCGTTACCTCACGTGCCCCCCTCCTCACATCTACCATAGTGCCGAGAGTGGTGGGGGTACGCTAGAGCGCGAGCCGCGAGTAAGAGAGAGAGAGCTTCGCTTGAGAGAGAGGCATGTACAGGGCCCCGCGTATCGCTGATAGCGAGAGCGGTCACGCCAAAGAGGCACGGGCGCTGCCGATAGCGAGGGCGGCCATTACGAAATAGGAGGGGTGAGCGCACGCGAGCGTCTTATATGATTTGAATTAAACGTATCGTGTCTCACGCTACAACATCTGGTGTCGAGTATGCTGCCCCATAATGCGCAACACCCAGGTTTATTAGAGTGAAATGAAGGAAATCACAACTAGGTGTCTAACGTGAAATTAATTGCTGGCCCTGAAAAGGGCCGATTAAATGTTTCGGGTCTTTTAGTCCTCCTCCTCCTCCGCCTGCGGTGCTGCAGCTGCAGCCGCCAACATCCGCTCGCGAAGGGCCTCGCCGTCGTATATTACGCCGTTCACGACCACCCATACTGTGCCGTCCTCCAAAATGATGGGGTACGGTTGTAAGGCACCCTCCGGGAGCGCCTCGAGCCCGAGGCGCAGCCTTAGCAGCTCGTGTTCCCGGAGCTGTAGCCACGATAGGGGGGCCCACATCCCCGGCGCTATCGCCCACCTCTCGACACCGTCGTCAAATTCTTGTACCACGACGATGTGGTGCGGGAGTCCCTGATCGGCTGGGATCAGCGCAGGCATCTCCGGATTGAAGCCGGCCGGAATTAACGCCGGCATCTCCGGATCCATAGCGTCCTCCTCCTCCTCCAGTATTACCGGCTCGTCCTCCTCGCGTAATATCTCCTCGACTCGCCGCTCACGACCCGGACCTCCCCATTCGCGCGGAGCCATGTCTACTTAGTGAATGTTCCTCTCAACGCATTGAAAGTACCACCCCGAAGTATCAAAAGTATCAAGTTCTAAGAATATCGCTAATGCAACCCATCCGTATACGCGCAACACAAACATTTGAAGCGGTGTGAAAGACCGACAGGTCGGAGTCAGCAAATTTTTAATCTCCCTATATTCGCGGAAGGAGATGTATAATGCGGGATAAAATTATACAGACTTGGGAAAATGAGCGATTCGCGCCCTGAGCGATCTTCTGCTAATGTTTCGCAGAACCTATGGCAAATTTTTTGTTGTTTCATTTGAGAACAAAAGCCACGGTAAATTCAGTACCGGCGATGAAGAGGTAATCGCCGAAATTGCGTACCAAAGGAACAGCCACCGGTTTCGGTAACCCGCGATACGCCGAAGCCGATATCGCCTAAGCGACGATAAAAATCGAAGCTAAGGCTCTTATCGGCTGCGTGAAGATGCGTAGCGTTCTACCGTCTTTAAATGTACAGCGTCAGCTGATTAACCTACGGAGCAGGAGCGCGTTAATGCAACCTCGCGCTCCTACGAGACGCGTTCCAAAGTGAGGAACGCGTAAAAATATGCTCATCAGGAATCATTCATAGGAAACGTCTATGTTCGAGAACGATATAAAATTGTAACGAGCGTTAAATACGATGCTTTCGATTTAAAAAATACATAGCGAGAATTCTTCGCTTGCGGAATTGCTCTAAACAATGTAGAAGACGCAAACGTTGATTGAACTCTAAGAAGTATAGTCTCGATCGAGATTTTAAACCAAAGCAGTCATCGCATTGAGTTTCGCGTGCCTGCGGTAAGGCGAGCCCTGATAAGTTTGCCGCTAAGGTAAGGCGAATCCGATAAGAATCGACGCTAAGGTCCTTGTCTGAGGTGCGGGGTTACATAGCGCTCTGCCGCCTTCGAATGTACACTAGCGAACATGAATACCACCAATGGTACATTGGAGGCACCGTATCCCCAAGGGAGGCATTCATGTTCACCACTGTACAACGTCAACTGATTTAATTGAAGAGACAGTCGCGCGCTGAGATGCGACCTCGCGTTCCGAGGAACCGCGAATTGTATTTTTTCCTTCAGGAGAAATCTTTTTTGGAGAAACCTCTATGATGGATAACGAAATAAATTTGTAACGAACGTTGCTAGATCGCGAAATGCAATGCTTTCGTTTGTTAAATACGTAGAGAGAAGGCTGCGCGTGCGAGCCCGCATCCATTCCGGTAGAGTTGCTGACACCGAACCTCGCAAACTCATACGAAGATCATGCCAACAATATAGAAAACGCAAACGTTGATGCGTTTTGAATCATCTTTCTAAGGTTTTTATACAACGTCTTATGCTCCAAAAGTTACTTCGTTCGTCGCTCGTGCCTCGGCAACATCGAGCTAATAAAGCGCGTTTGAAATTTTGGTT